AACATGACAAGGAGAAAAGCAAAACACCCACTACCAGACACACAAAACTAAAAACGTGACACAACACAAGAATCGTGACACCTCTCTAAAGGGTGAAGGAGACAGTCCGGGTTTTGATTGAGGCAAGAGGGTTGAGACTGAGGGACACTGAGGGCAGTGTTGTAGTGGGATACCAGGCCGTCCACGGTGGAGTCGGAGGGAGCCGAGGCCATGTGGGTAGCTATCAGGTCGGATAGGGCCGGTGCACTCACAGTCTTAATGTTCCTAAACATAATGGTGCGTTGAGGATGCTGCCAGGGCAGGGAGACCGGAACAGTGAAGAGGATAGCGTGATGGTCAGATACAGCCAGGTCGAGGCGCTGTAGGTCGGGGGGCGGAGAGCCGGTAGAGCACACCAGATCCAGCGTGTGGCCTTTGATGTGGGTGGGGCCCAGGACATGTTGCTGGATGCTGAAGCAGTCCAAAAGTGAGAGGAATTCAGCAGCGAATGTGCAGTTACTGGAGTCAACGTGGATGTTAAAATCACCGAGCAGGAGAGTTGATGGAGACATGGAGCAGAGAGAGGTGAGTAACTCAGACAGCTCAGACAGGAAGGTAGTGGAAGCTTTAGGTGGGCGGTAAATGAGGGCAACCTGGAGCGGAGCAGACCCAGCCAGTTTGAAGACAACACACTCAAATGAGGTGGTAGTAGGTACTGGGAGTTCTTTAACCAGGATGCCAGCTCGGTGGATAACAGCCAATCCACCGCCACGACCCAGGGAGCGGGGCTTCTGGATGTACAAATAGCCTGGGGGTGTAGCTTGATTGAGTGTCACAAAGTCCTGCTGATTTTGCCATGTCTCTGTTAAGCATAGGATGTCAATGCTTCTGTCAGTGATAATGTCGTGGATGAGTAGTGCTTTGTTGTTGAGGGAGCCGGTATTCTGCAGCATAAATGTCACATAGTTGTTCATAGCTGCTGGGGGGAACAGGGAGGGAGAAACCAGCACACTGTCAGCACAGGCCAGGGACCTCAGGTAGATAGAGCGAACGGGAGGTTTGGTCGGATGACGTTGTTTGTTGTGATGACGACATCGCCGTGCGACAGACCGTCTGTCAGAAATAACTGCTGGGATAGGAGTTTCGGAGTAGAAAAACTTGCTGGATCTGTATGTAGCGGGGACGACGCAGAAGCCCAAGGGATTTGATAACGGCAAGGCAGTCGGGGATAGTGTGGTAGAAAAAGTTACGAAGTTCCAACGAGGAGTATTAGAGCAGCATCACGAGAAGAGCGGCGAGCCAGCTAGCAGCTAGCACCATTAGCCCTGCAGAAACCGGACCTCGAACCTCGGCAGCGGTGATGGAAAACAGCCCAGTTGGAATGGCCGGACTGAGGGAGGGTTTGTGGATAGTCCTGGGAGTGTGGCAGAGAGGAGCCCAGTCGGAGAATTCCGGAACGGGGACTACGCGGATAGCAGAGCGTGATGGTGAGCTCGTTTTGCTAATGGCAGGGTGGCAGAGGCTAAGAGCTAAACAGCAGCCAAACATAGTCGGCTAAGCAACAGAGATGGCAGAAACACAAAACCAGAGGAGAACAATATTTCCGCTGTGTAAGGGAATTAAATAGATTGATGGCAGGGAGTGGCAGACACGAGAAGTAAGCGTTGGCATGAAGAGCGGCGAAAAACACGCCAGCGTCCCCTCAAACCTCAGAGAGGACTATCACCCACACACACGGCTGACTACAATTATAATTTCATATGGCCCAGTGTAGTAAGAAAAAGCCAAAGGTGAGAGTAACAGAAGTATTTGGATCCTTTAATTTAAAATATAGTAATACAAGAGCGCCGATAAACATACTACTATAAGAAAAATGAAGTATTGTCATAGAAATGCACTTCAGTAACAGAAGTAAAAACACTCAACAGAATGGTTCCTTTCATTCGATATAGTATTATTTATGTGGTAGTTATTATTGTTAGTGGCAGAATACGGCATTATTCTGCTGGATACAATTTCCCACTCATTAAAGGCAATCAAAAATCTGAACGCATTAAAATCTTAAATCACTGTTTGTAATCAGCCTTACTGTTTTACTGTCCATTGTGCCTGAGCTGTATCTGAGCTTTCAATGAAAAAAGAGAAATACAAATTTGGCTTACATTTTGAGAAAAACAACTTGAGTAGGATTATGATTTAAATAATTTATTAATTCAAAAAGTATTAGAAGCCAATTATATTATATTTTGTATGACAAATAATCAAAAAAACTAGTGAAAAGCTCAAAATTGTACTCTAAAATGTAGTGGAGCAAAGACGTACTTGTTTTAACTTAAAACAATATTGAAGTACCGTAGCTTGGGTAAGTTACTTTCCATCAAGGGGAAGAACACAGTCCGATTGGTTAGCTAGCCGGCTCTTTTCTGATCGGTCAACCGCTTAGAGATGTCCCGCCTCTTAGCAAATCACGTACAGTGTGTAGGCCAATAGAAGCGCAAGTGCGTTTAACCCATAGTGATGTCACTATGTTACAGAAGTAAACACAGGACTACTCAACTCAACTCAACTCAACTTTATTTATAAAGCCCTTTTCAAAACAGCCGGAGCTGAAACAAAGTGCTGTACATGCCATAAAAAACAAAAACAAAACAACAATAACAATAAATAACAATATAAAAACAACAAAACCAATGAAGCATATAAAAACAAACAGAAACAGAGTCTCATGCTGGATTAAAAGCCAAGGAATAAAAATGGGTTTTTAGGCGAGTTTTAAAAATGGACAGTGAAGGGGCTTGTCTAATGGTCAATGGGAGGCCATTCCACAGTTTGGGACCGGCAGCGGAAAAGGCTCTATCCCCTCTGAGCTTCCGTTTAGACCTCGGTACCTCCAGGAGCAGCTGATCAGCTGACCTGAGGCACCGGGCAGGGGAGTAAGGATGGAGCAGCTCTGAGAGGTACGGCGGGGCGAGACCGTTAAAAGATTTAAAAACAAATAAAAGAATCTTAAAATGGACTCTAAAATGCACAGGCAGCCAGTGGAGGGAGGCTAAAATGGGAGTAATGTGCTCCCTCTTACGTGTTCCAGTTAGAAGGCGTGCGGCAGCATTTTGGTAGTCCAAAATGCTGCCGCACGCCTTCTAACTGGAACACGTAAGAGGGAGCACATTACTCCCATTTTAGCCTCCCTCCACTGGCTGCCTGTGCATTTTAGAGTCNTCTTCTCCTCGGCAGGGCTGCAGTATCAGTCATCTTTTAGAAAGCAGCCCTGCCCGAGTGTACTCCCTGTCACAATGATGAACTGCTTTTTACTAAACGGGGAGTAAAGAAAAAAAAAGTTTGGCCCACGATAATGTGAATTTATAGATCAATAACCTCAAATGGTTTGGAGCAGATGGAGTTTGCTAATTTAAAGATTTGAATCTATCTCTAATATGTGTGTGTGTCTCCATTTCAGGGACTTGGCGGTAATCGTGGCATCCATTGCGTACAACACCTGGTTCACCAAGCTGCACTGCAAAGACATGCGCATAGTAACTATCTTTTAAAAAAAATCTTCCTCACTTTTGCTAGATGGTTACAGAATGGTTAGCATTTTCAAAGTCAACATTAATCAATATGGCTATGGGTTTTGTACCAATTCATCGTGTGTTGTACATAGATCCTCCCTGTATTATCATTAAATCTCTTGAGATGACATACTAAATGAAAGCAAGTTAAGAAACCCATGATTGAAAGAGAACAGTGAGTCAGCATTGTTTTATGTTCCTATTAAAGAGGATGTGAATCTGTATTAAATATTCATATTGTGCATTAGAGTGAGTGGTATCCATCTTAAGTGAAAACACTCAGTTAAACAAACAAGTATTATTTGTAATGTAATATCAAATATCTTGATAATTAATGCCCCTCATATGTGGTTTGAAATTTCAAAAGAACCGTTTAAAACAGAGATGTTGGCACCTAGAGTGACTACCAGTCAACAAAAAAAACAAAAAGGACAACCAGCAGTCTTTTGGTCTGAAAACATGGGAGTCAACAAACCCTTCAGATTAGTCTCCCATTCCTGAATCACATACCGGCTTATAAGAATATACCGTTCCAAATTTGAGTCTCTACCTACACAATTTCTTCATTTGGCAGCGCAAGGTTGAGTATTGCAACAAACTGAACACCCCTTCCTTTCAAGACTCATACATCTCTGTAGTTTATTTCTTCCTTGTTATTTCAGAGGGTTGAAGTGGACAGGGCTTAGCTCAAAAATGGTGATGATTATTGATTTTTTTCAATACTTGGTTGACTGAAATGTTCATTATAATCTGATGACAAAATGTGGCATTTGAAACGAGCTTTAACGAAAGAAATAATAGGGAGTAAATATTTTTGACCCGTAAATACTTAACATTGATACAAATGTAAACTAAAACAGTACAATATTTCAAGTTATCTTCGATTAAAACTTAAAATATTACATAACAATTACAAACATTTGCCTAAAACTACTGTAATAAGCATTTTCATTATGAGACTGGAATTCTTTGAGGCTGAAAAAAGGGTTCTGATTATTAATTTTGACATAATTCTATTAAATGAATATAATATAATATAAAAATTATAATTAAAGGAAAAATCTTAAAAGAATAAACATTTGACTATTAATGACGAAAAGATGTCTGAAGTGTCATGAATTTTCATGACATTTTCTTTCTAACGAGTCAGACTAAACCTAAAATATGTGATATCAACTTTGCTCAAAACGCTATACATCGTCCTTGAGGCTATCTTAATTTACATAAAGGGAATTTAACAAATGACTACCTGCCTTCACAGAACCACTTCAAAAGTACAACCCAGTCAGCTTTGTGTGTGTTGTAGTTACTAAAATATAATAAATACATGTTTGTCTTAAGAAACAGATATTTTAGACCAATATCACCTCTGCTCATGTACGTCTAGACATAGTCCTTGAGGCTATTTATCTCATTGTACATTTAGCAAATTGTGGCTTTCACAAAACTACTCTGAAAGTGTAAAATCAGCAATCCATTAATCAGGCTTTACCGATCCTAATCAGACTTCGGTTGCTTCAGACTACTTCTTGCTTTTACATTCTCTTCCTTTTGAGCCCCCTGGTCCCAGGAGCCTTCAGGTTTGTTTCTTCTTTTTCCTCCAGGGCTCTGAGGTGGTGGACCAGGTTCTGCACACAGTCAGCAAGTCCAACACTCTGGAGGAGCTCACTCTGGAGAACGCAGGACTGAAATCGTAGGTTTGACAGCTTCCTCCCGCCCTGTCACCTCTCCGTTAATCTAACTTCATCTCCCTTTCTTCCTCTCCTCCCACCTTGTCCTCTCAGACAACACCTACCCCTCTTCTCTTTTGTCCTTTTTATAATCGCCCCTGTTTTTTCGATTCCCTTTTCTCTGCTTTGCTTGTACTCTTTCTTCCCACTTCCTTCTCGTCTCACCCTTTCACCTCAGCTCTTCCCACCTCCCCTCCTCACTCCAGCTCTTCCCACCTCCCCTCCTCACCCCTTGTGTGTTAACCTTTCAAATTCTGTCTCTCCTCTTCTTTCTCCCTCTCACACCCCTGTTAACCTTCTTCAGATAAAGGTCTCTCCTGTCTGTGCGTGGTTATTTTCCCCACGTTTGAGAATATTTTTGGGCTTCACCTGGCGAGAAAATCTCCCCTTCTATGCATCGTTAGAATCATTTAGCAAAGTCTTTTTCTTTATTACGTATTCATTGAGATGAATTGGCTGCCTCAAGGCCACAGGATTTATTGCAGAATAATAATGAGGCACCAAATGTTTATATTTTCAATGTGTTAAAATGCTCTAGACAAGCACTCCACCAAACTCTAACAGGGAAGAAAGAAATCCCTTTTTATACAAAGATGCTCAAAGAGTGCAGTGAATGTTAAAGTATGTGACTTTATAGACTCCCACCCAAATACCATACTTCCTATCACCTTTTCAATATGTGATTCAAGAGATTTCAAAGTAATTTGCCGGCACAAATGACAAAGTACAGCACAGTAAGAAAAAGTGTCTTACCTTCATAAGCTTTTCCTTTCAAACACTTGTTTGCAAGTACATAACGTTCTTTAAGTTCAAAGCTTTTCTCAAATGAAACGGCTTTGAACGACTCGCGCCATGTTTTATTATGTAGTTACTCGAATAAAAAGATGAAACAAAAGGTGTTTTTGTAGTTTAAATGTAATTTATAGTGCCGTTAGACTGCCTTGTTTATACAGGTGCTTACGCGATGCAAACTGTTTTATAAAGGCAGTCAAGATGTTGTTCGTTTAAAAGGTTTACCCCCAACAAATATGTATCAAAGGAGAGTATTTCATGACAAAAAACACATTGGGAATTTGGGTTTTTAGAGGTATCTTCAAAATATGTTTCATTTTTTACTTCTGGAGCTATTGGAAATGTTTGAATCTATGGAGTCGGAAACTATCCAAATAGTATAAGACTATCAGTATTAATGTAGACTTATCTCTATCTGCAACTGTGCAGCAATGCCAGATTAACAGAGTAAATAGGCGAGATAAATGTATTCAAATGTCAACGTTGGGAATAAAGCTGCAAACTGTTCAATGCAGACCTCGAAAATATATGTTTTTCTGCCAGTCCTGACTTCACATGCTCATGCTTGACGGAAATATTTCTAAGTGAAGTGGGATTGATCCCAAATAAGTCATTGTCATCTGCAGTTACATTAGCTCCTAGCAAAATATTAATATATTTATTTACGGATATTTCTAGAATATCAAAACCTTTGTCTCTATTCAATATTATTATTGAAATTCACACCAATGACAAAAATCATTACCCAGCATATCAATATAAACAACCAATAATGTACATTTTTATTTTGAAATGTATAGTGTGAGTACATCTTAAGTCAATTTTAGCATAAACGTTTTTTTTTTATCAAGAAGGTAGCATCAGTAGCCTTTGTAGGGACTCAGGGGAAAAAAGGGTTCACCGGTTCAAGTCCCGATCAAACATGTGTGTTCAGACCTAATTTGTACAGGTTCTGTTTATGTATGCATTTGTACTGGTGTGTAAAGACTAACAATGAAAAACCAAATTTCCCCTTGTGGGATTAATAAAGTGGCTTCTTCTTATTTTCATCTCTGAAAAAGGGGCAGCTTCTTGAGTGTTTCATTTATTAACAGTAGGTTTAATAATGAAAAATTACCAGGTACATTTAGTTGTATAAAGTAAATCTATCTGGCAGATTTTACACCAGTATTGAATCAGCAATTTTCACAATAGCCTCATATTCCTTCTTCTATAACGTTTTGTCTCCAGGGACTTTCCGCAGAAGATGGCGTCGGCGCTGTCTGAGAACCCGGCCTCTGTGATCCACTCCCTGAACCTGGCCCACAACACGCTGGACAACCAGGGTAACCCCTCCCAATCTGCTGTAGTGTCTCTGAGGGCACTGCTGATTGTTCTTGTGCTCTTAAAGAATTCAAAATCAATGACTATCCTCAGAGAACCTTTAATTTCTGTTCCTCCTCCTCATCTATCTTTCATATAGGACTATATAAGGTCCTCCTCTCTTGAGAAATCCTTTTATTTGTATCGTCTCGCCAACAACTCGCCTCACTAACTGAACCTCTTACAGAGCAACGTGCATCATAACCAATAATGTTTTTCTACTATTCTTAATTATTAATCTAAGTTGTTCTTTTAATGTAATGTTGGAAGCAGCGTTTCCGCCAGAGGGGCGTCTTGCCGTCATTTGACAAAAAAATAAATAATTTGAGAGAAGATCGAGAGTTTTTATCGAAACTGAGGCTCTGTGGTAAACTGAAGAGGCGTTTAGGAGCTGAAAGAGCCGGCTCTTAGTGACTAGTCACTAAAAAGAGCCGGAATTCCCATCACTAATACGTAAAGAGATAGTATCTATAAGGGACGGCTCAATTCAAGTCACGTGACACGACGTGACGTCATTCTGCTGTTGGTTCTGGACTGGTGTTGGTGAATAAAGCAGACTGCTCCGTGTGTGGTGTCGCTGGGCCGCTGTCACATCTGTTCCTTGATCTCTGCGTCACCGACCAATTTGATATTCGTGTGACAGAAAAAAAAACGTTACTACGCTATAATCGAGCGGCGAGCTACTGAAAAGCTGCCCGCGAGCTACCGGTAGCTTGTGATCGACGTGTTGCAGAGCCCTGCTATACAGTACACCTTTCCCTCCCTTTTTAAAAATGGACATTCCCGCTTTTGCCTGTTTTATATCATTTTAAAGTTAAAGTATTTTGGTTCTGACAAAAGAAGATATTTAAAGACCTGACTTTGCACGTTGAGAAACTGGGATATACATTTTAATATATTTGTAACATTTTATATTACCTTTTTATAAGATAATATAAGAAATTCAGGTGTCATAGCATCAATAATAGAAAAGTACAACCAATGATAGGGCAGCTAAGAGTACACACAGAGATATAATTAATAATATATATTTTTTAAAGTAAGTCACAGTATAGATTAACTTAAACATTTAAATAAAACACACCTTTATCTCCCTTTTTTAAATATGGAAAGTTCCCACTTTTCTCACATTTTTCACAATTTCTTGCCAATTTTTAGACACTTCATCTATTCGATTACTCTCTTAAATAGTCAGGCAGATGAACCACTCATCAACATAATCATTTTTTTGAAGCCCCACGTTATACACCTTTCTCTCCCTTTCCCGCTTTTCTCTGTTTTATATCATATTCAAATAAATGTCTTTGGGTCACAAAATACAAAACAAGACATTTAAAGACATTAACTTGGACTTTGAGAGCCTGGGATGGACATTATCCTTTTTTCCGACATTTTAAAAACAAAACAATGAGACGATTACATCTAGAAAATTATCTAAACATTAAATGATAAGGAAAATATTTGTTATTTACAGCCCTACTCTATACTTCCCTTTTATATATGGAGATGTCCCACTTTTCTGTGCTTTGTATCACATTCAAGTCAATATCTTTTGGTCCTGACAAAACAAGATATTTAAAGACATTACCTTAGACTTTGAGGAGCTGGTATCGACATGTTTGACAATAATCCTAATCTAAAAAATAATCTGAACATGAATCTATCATTTGGCTTTTCAGTCAAACCTTTTACACCTTTCTCTCATGTGCTTTGTACGCACATATTATTTTACACCACATTCAGGCTCTGCATGCATGCCACTCTCACTCATTAGCTAATTCCTGCCCTCCCGCCTGACACACGTCACTTCAACTCGCTTCAATTAATTGTTTCTGCTCACAGTTGCCTCCCTCTATGTGTGTGTGTAGAAAGTGTGTATAGACTTCCTTTATTGTGACTACAGCCACATACGCACTGCAGCTTTAACCAGCATCACAATAACCCCGTAATCACAGTGGGAAATGACCTTCAGTCTGTTTGCAAAGCTTACAGTGTTCTTCATGCATCGAATCCCAGGAACAGTTCTGCACACATTCAATCAGGAAACAAGGTTTGGCACTACACAAAAGCATTGCATTCTTAAATAAAGCCGAGGCTTTTATGCTATTTTTATAACCATCCCTGCGATGGGTTTTATCGTTTTGCTGAGATGAAACTCTTTCCGTCTCCGTTATGTAATGTGGCTTGGCATATGGTATTTATACGTGTTTCTGCACTGGGTATGTGGGAGAGAGCCAGGTCCTTGAGTATGTTGGTGTTTGTTTTCCCACTGTAGTATACGGGTGGGTATAGCTATGTATATGTTTGGAGGGGGTGTATTGAGAGAGGTTGCATTTTAGCTTTGCAGAGCTCTGTTTAGGCTCCAACTCAAGAAGCTGATAGAAAGATCAAAGGGAAGCAAGCGTCAAATATTTAAAAAATCTACTAATTTATACGTACTTTCTAAAAAGCTGTGTTCAGGGAGCACAGAGTAGAAGTACAATAGAGGTGTTTCAGGAAGGGGGGGGGGAGAGGGAGGGGACTTTGGGATTTTAGCTTCTGGAGACCATTTACATACACACAAATGTATATTACTACAGGAAAGGGAAACTCCAAAAAAGCATAACGGGGCCTTTTTAACCGGAATTACCAAAACATAATATGACAATTTGGAAGTGCCCTAGGCTTAAAGAGATTTTATGATTCTGAAATGGGCCATTTTGTATTCCATTACTTTGGGACATATATTTTATATTTGGATGTCATTACTTTTGTATTGAAACAAAAATCGTTTACTTGTAACTTCTTTGACTTAACTATAGTACTTTTTGTATCACTCATTAAACCATTAGTTGTTCTGGCTCTAGATGTGTGATAAATATGTTGATTTGGTATTTATGATTATACGATGAATGTGTCCTCTCTTCTCTTCTCCCCTTCCCCTCTCTTTAAACCAGGAGTCTCCAACCTGATTCAACAAGTGTGTCGCCTCAACAAAGGTCTGCGCCTCCTCAACCTCTCCAAGACCTCCCTTTCCTCCAAGGGTAAGAGACCCCGATCATTAAATATAATGAATGTCCAATTAAGTTTTGGGACTGGTACAACAGATGGTGCTCAGACACTTTCTATGACTCTGTTTTTGTAGCTGCTGCCCACCATGCAGTTCTATTTTGTCTAGCGTTACCTCGCATAGATAAACTGACCCATGCAGTATGACCCATCTACCAAATTAATCCCCTTTAAAACCCCATTTAGGCATTAGTGCAGTGTCCCAATTCTATTGCTCTTATCCCAAACAGCACAACCGTCCACTATTATAGCAGATTCAAAGAGATCACATTTAAGTCCATACATTAATAGCCTCAACGTAATGGCATTTGTCATCCTATTTTGATCTGATCAGAATCAGAATCAGGTTAATTGCCATGCCGGTTTGCACGTACAAGAACTTTGCTTTGGTGTATTATAGTGCATATATAAACACAATAGTTAAGTTGAGCTAAGTTGTAAAAAAAGGAACAAATATAAACATTTTTTTATGCTATTTAAAAAAATATATACAAATAAATGTTTACATGAAAATTTATTAGAAAAAAGTGCAGTAAAAATATGACAATTTACTCTGAGAATCAAATAATTTGAACAGAATTCAAACTGGCTGAGTTATTAAAGAGGGTACAGAGTTCTCTGATGTATCTACTTTGGCTTGAATGATGATTTTCTTTCATGTACACAAGCAGTAAGCTGTCCTACAAAGCAAAATACAGTATCTATATATGTTTTTGTCCAAATTAACAACAAAACATTTTCCAAATAACAACAGAATCACATGTTTTAGTGTCTGTTGTACCATGTATTGTTAAAATGATTGTTTTAACGCATTGTTGATGATCTGTTGGAGGGAGATTCTGTTGAAATTCTGCCTCCATGATATAATGGAAGTGACATTTTCTGACCTCCTGTCTGTGAGCTGTTTTCATATAGACAGGGAAACAGCTTTGAATGAAAATCGTTTTTTTTGTGTGTGATCTATTGACCTCTTGTGTTGTGCATGGATTCTGGTAAAATAGCACAGTGTAGTTCTGTAGATCTGAGTACTTTTTCCACCACTGCGTTTCCAGAAGATTAGACAAAGGTGTTTATTTAGGGCTCTATAGCGGTACTTACTGTAGGGGTCTAAAATAACCAGCCCAAATGCCATCAAAGTGAGGCATTACATCCTTTCTATCTATTACACAATTTGCCCTGAAGCTTGAAAGCTAAACCCTTTTCCCCAGCTCCTCTGCTCCTGTAGGGACTGCTTTCGGCTGAATGTTGAGTGTTACGTACACCGCAGACGACAACCTTGATAACCTGTAACAAATGGAAAGAAAACACACTGGGTGTGATTTTAAAGGCAGTGGGATGACACAGTGATTCAGGGGAACGCAGTGCTGACCTTGAATGGGGGGTGAAGGTATGACTTTGCAGGGGCTGAGCATTACTTTGTTGAATATTTATAGATTTGTCTCCGCCCCTCCTTCCCTTCATCTCTAAAAACAGCTACACATATGCTGAGGCGAGCATGTGCACGCACGCACGCAGACACTATCTGTGAGATGTGATCAGATATGCAAAAAGGCAGATATCTCTCGCATGCACCCACACAAGAGGCATTGATTTGACTTCTACTACTATTTCTCTGTTTAAAATAATAACACGTTTTTTCAAATGTATATTTGATCAAATTTGTATTTAATGTTGTTTAATTTATCTTACAAGATCACATTTTTATTGTTTTATTTTATTCAATTTGATCTTTACTTAATTGTATTACATTTTGTATATTTAATTGAGTTCATTAGATAATGGAGCAAGTGCTCCAACATCCATGCTTCATTTATATTTTCCTATTTTATCTGAAATAATTGTATATTTAGCTTGTTTTGTTTTATGTTTTTTACTTTATAATATAAAGAGCAAATGTTGCAAGATACATATTTTTTTACTTTTATCAATTTAAATTCATCTTTTTATTTTGGTTATCTCTTTTATGCTACTGTTACAAGATCCAATTATTTTCATATTTATTTCTATTTTATTTGATTCAATTTATTGTATTATATTTCCTTTTCGTTTTTCTTTATGTTGTTTTATTCTATAATGGAACAACTCTTACCATATCCTATTTTAAATATGTTTTTATCCTATTTCTCTTATTTAGTTGTATTATTTCTGATTCTGATTCACACAGACTTAATGGCTTCTTCAAGTCTGATGGATAGGCAAAGTGTGAGGGGGTGGGGGGGATTAGACACCCTGTCCCCTCTTCCCCTCATTTGGCTCCTAATCGCTACAAATTAGGGATGAAGAGCTTAGCGCCTTGCTAGCGTCAGTGCAGCACATGCTGGCCTCCCCAAAGCCTTAAACAGGAGGAATGTATTCCCTACAATTTAGACTAGTGAACAGATTAATGATGCTTGTAAACTTTTTTTATTTGTCTGTGCTGCTCGATATTTCTCCCGTGTTGTTATTGTGTCTATATTTAATCTTCGACTTGCCATTCCGCACCGTGCTTTGCATCACTCAGGGCGAAGATTTTTAATGAGGGCTTCCATCGGGCCCGTGGGTGTAATTGTGTAGTGATCTGATTTTAAAAGAATGATTTTCTTTTGTTTCGGCTTTCAGGGTACATACCAGGATACAGGGGGGAAGTGTCTAGCTTCCTCCTAAAATCTTCTTTTGATACTAGCCTGCCATCGGAGCTCACTTGTCTCTGCGCAATTATTTAGTTTGCCACATTGCTCGCTCACCCTCCTGCATTATGTACTTTTGTATTCATTAGTTGTTAATAAGTCACGTCCAGAGAAAAAAAAGATCATTATAAGATCATTAAACTGACTTTGGGATGCATATCATTTGATTATTGAAACTAATTTTCCCTCTCCTTTTTATTTCACCTCTATCACGACCCCCCCATTAGGTGTGGTTACTTTGTCCCAGGCGTTGTGTTCAAGTGACGACTACTCCAATTCTCTACTGCATCTGGACCTCAGTAAAAACCCCGGGGTTCTGTCTGGAGAGGACGCAACAGTAAGGAAGCAAATACCATTCAGAAATTATCCTTACTTCGTTTTTCTATTTTGTTGTTTCTATACACATTTTTTGTTGTGCATAACAAAACCTGAGTGAAAATGACGTACATTAAAGAAAAAAATAAGTTTCCAAAAAGTTGTTAAGGTGTCAAATTTCATGTTTTAGATCAAATATACTTTTATTTATCCAAAAATGTAATGTTGTTTTGTTAACGCAGCATGTTTAACAAGGCCTTGCGCCCCATTTAAAAGTGCTTCTGCATTAGCTTCAAATAAGCCAAGTGCTACGTAAATGTTCTGACAGATATAATACTTGCAATAAGCTAAGTCTGGAACCTGTATCTAAGGACTTAAAGAATATTAGAGGTGTTGTACTCTCTTGCACTCAAAGTAAACATTCACAATGGTTTGCCATTGGACATTTGGACCATAAATGGTTTAATGTAAACCGTTAGCATTCTTCTTTCAAAGAGAATTAGGAAAGCAAAGGGTTTCCTGTTATGAACCAATGAGTATACCATCAGTAAAGACATTTACCAATCAGAGGATCAGTGGTTTGATCCCACCAGTGTTTTTGGTCAAGATACTTAGCCCTAAATTGTTCCCAGCGTTATGTCTATGCTATTGAAGTGTACGTGTAAGGGAAACCTCTGCAGCAATGGAGAGTCAGGACTCAGAGAGACACAAGGAGAGTTGGAGCTTTGATGTCAAACAATGATAGTTTATTACAAGTATAACGGCCGGAGAATTCATATCACAAGTCACAGCAGCAAAAGGTTCTGACTGCACGGGTGGGTTGCCATGTACATTCTGCCCAGCCTCTCTCTAGATAGACCTTTTAACTAGTTCAGAAAGAGTAAACAACATATTTGGGGAGATGGTGCGTAAACACCTGGAGACACTGAATCACTTATCTGACTCTTAGGCTCTGTGACCGAGAGTTGACCGGTCATAAAACTGGTAATGTCAACAATAGCTGAGACTTCCCATTCCTTAAGACAGATAACAGACTTAGGGTTGGTCGTAAACGTCAACACACAGAAAAGGTTAGACTCCTAGGAGTAAGACAAAATTAATATTTAATATTAGTATGTATGCTTTGGATCAAAGCATATGCTAAATAACATGTGTTCTAATGTACAGACAATTTATATGTGCTTGTATTTTCTTCCTTTATCTGTTCTCTAAAATACATTGTCCTTGTTCCCCTGCAGAACCTGTACCTGTTCCTGGCCCAGCCCAACTGCCTGGTCCACCTGGACCTCTCTGGGACAGACTGCACCGTGGACTCGGTTAGTACGCTCTGTCTCTGTTACAGTTGATATCCAGTCATCGCTGTCTGAATTCCCCTTTAGGATAGGATTCAGGCCAAGAAACAGAAAGTGGGTTTCGTCCTGAATAAGAATCGCTCTCCTCACAAAAACAATGCTAACTCACAGTCTTCCTCCGAGCTCCTCTGTGCATAATGCTTTTAGTGATGCTCTCAAGATGCTCTACAATAGAAACACACAGCCTCTTATGAATTATACAAGCAGAACATCATCTGAATTGCATCCAGGAGCTTTTGTTTTCAGGCGTTTGTTCAAGTCTTTGTCACTTCAGAGGGATGACTTTGTCCGTGTTGTGCGGCTAAATTTATTTTGCCACTGTGACAAAACGGTGTCTCGCCGCATTAGCAGATACAAGCTCACAGCTGAAAGGATGACGGAGCTTTCTCTCTTTCTCTGAAAGAGTTCAGTGACCACGCTGGAGTGAGCCTGCCCCTGCTGGATACCGCTGACATTGCAATTATTCTTGTCGATACACAACAGAAAATGTTCTAAGTTACAGATGTACTCGGGATGTTTTTCGTCTCTATGTCCCTCTGGAAGATGTAAGAGGTTTGTAAAGAGAGCCAGCTCAGATTTGTTGTTTGTGTCCCGTCGTCAGTGCTGCATTGCTGCTGACAGGACGGCGTGCAGCAGGGACCTGCGGGGATAGAAAGAACAGACAGAAATATCTGATTTATTGTGTTATTCGTTGCCGGGAGATAAGAGGTCAGTCAGCCAGAGATTTACTCTAAGCTCTGCTGTTGCTCAGTGACACCACGGCATTGAATTCTCAGAGTCCCCACTCTATATTGCCATTTAGCCTCACACCAACCTTTTTGCCTTAAAGTGCCTGTGACACGAACCCAACAACTGTTGTGCAATGAGGGCTCTATTATTGTTTTTGCGGTCCATTACCCCTCTGCCTGAAACGCTTCGATTGTAGAGGCCAGAAGACAATACCTGTCTAACATTATCGACTCTAATCGTCACAACCCGCGTGTGTTATTTAAAACCATTGTAACTGTTCTTAACCCCCCCCAGCCTGGGTACACAGAGGCTTCCCCCGAAATGTGTAATAGCTTCTTGCACTTTTTCATTGATAAGGTTACTACTGTAAGGGCCCTCATCTCTACTCCTGCATCGGACCCCTCTGACCCTGTTCCTTCCTCAGCTGTGTTTGATGTGTTTGAACCTGTGTCTCTGAAGGCCTTAGAAGATGTGGTTGGCCAGATTAAGCCATCAGGTTCTCCTTGTGACTCTGTCCCGCCTCACTTTTTTAAAGAGGTTTTCCCTAGTATAGGGCAGTCGGTTCTGGCCGTTATTAACAGCAGTCTGTCTTCTGGTATTGTCCCCCAAAGTTTTAAACATGCTGTGGTGCAACCCCTGCTTAAGAAACCTGGTCTTGATCCTGGTGTGCTAGCCAATTTTAGACCCATCTCAAAACTGCCTTTTATTTCAAAGATCCTAGAAAAAGTTGTTTATACACAATTAAAATCTTTTCTGGATGAGCATGATGTCCTGGAGGTTTTCCAGTCTGGTTTTAAAACACTGCATAGCACAGAGTCGCCCTTACTAAGAGTTTTTAATGACATCCTCCTGGCAAATGACTCTGGGGACTATGTGATTCTTGTCCTCCTGGATTTAACTCTGCGGCTTTTGATACTGTGGACTACAACATTTTAGTGCCCTCGGTTACAGCACCTAGTGGGGTATTTCTGGTACTGCCTTGGACTGGTTCAAGCCTATCTGGCAGACAGAAACCATGGTGCGTAAGCCTTGGTGGTTCTGAGTCCCACCCTGCCTCCACTGTCATATGGGGTTCCACAGGGTTCAATTTTAGGGCCCCTGCTTTTCTCATTGTACCTGCCTGCCCCTGGGTTCCATCTTGAGGAAGCATGGTATCTCCTTCCATTGTTATGCTGATGACAGCCAGATCTATGTGCCACTAAAAAAGAAGGATGCTTTTCTCTCTGCAAACCGCTTCTGTTATGTCTTGAAGACATTAAAGCCTGGATGTGTCTTTAAACTTTTTAAAATTCAATGAAAATAAGACAGAAGTGATGGGTGTTCGGTCCAGTGGCTCATGTAAACCCTCCTGTTGACTTGGGGCCACCTTGATGCATTACAGGAAAGCAACAGTGACAAACTTGGGTTTTAAGATGGACAGGGATTTTAAACTTGACGGGCAAATTGGGGCCAGTAGTGAAGTCCAGCTTTTTTTTATTCTTAGGCAGCTGGCCAAGGTGAAGGCCCCTCTTGGAGCACGGCCTTTGAAAGGTAATCCATGCCATCTCGGCTGGATTATTGTAGGCACTGATGGAGCGCAGTTCTCCTCGCCGTCTCCGTAGTCCAATGCTTGCCGCGCCTTCTAAACTGGGAAACGTAAGAGGGGCACCACTGGCTGCCTGCATTTTAGAGTCCGTCTGATCTTTTCTCTAAATTTTTACACGGGTCTCGCCCCGCGTGCCAAATCGCATCTGCCGTCACTACCGCAACTGCCAAGCGTGGAAGAAGCAAGTAAGCCCATTTTGGTATTGTTCAATCAGGCTCCATCTGCTGCTTAGAGGTCCCTTTGCTTATTCATATTGAGGTCTCGCCGCCAGTACCTGTTAAGAGCCAGCACTACTAGTCTACACGGGCGCACAGGAGCAGCTGACAAAGCCTGCGCCTGGGTTACAAAGTGTGGCATGGCTTCTCATTATCTATCACTCAAGCAGCGACTTCACTGTACCAATGAGTTGCAAACTCGAAAAACCGGACTGTTCGATGGGCTTTAATGTGATGAGATGGATAAACATGCGATCATATTGCTTTTACAGGATCTCAAGCTAAGATAATATTGTATCGCTGAATCAGTTTATTCTTTGCATGCGTGTGGAATTGCTGCAGTCAGCCTGATAGCTGAAAAGCGCTGAAAAGTAGGCCTACAGCCCCAGCAGCAGGCACTGGCTGCAACTATTGGAAAAGAACATCCCCTGTAATCGTCATCAAAACATGCCCTACATGTATGTATGCCATTTAACCCATCCTAGCTATTAAGCGACGTGGAGCCACGCTATTATACAGCCACCTGGGCGTAACTGGCACCTCCACCTGGTTACTGGCACCTCCACCTGGCTTCCAGTCCACACTCAGCCTGGTTTGGCCCGTCTGCGGACTCACCACCCCCATAAGACACCTAACAGACTGAGGCTTACTGCCCGTCGTCAATATTATTTGATGGCAGCGGCGGGTTGGCAAAATGGCCAAACGTGCCGTCTGCTTTTCCAGCCTTTTCTAAAGCGAGAAGGATTTTGCCTACTCTTTTTTGTCATATATGGAACAGTAGCATAAATCTGCAGGGCGGGGTTTATCAAGCAACAAGTAAATCCTTAAACCCTGCAGATCAGACTTAGGCCAGCCATAGGAATTAATGCTTTCCATCCTGGCCATATAACTTGTCACAAGGTCTGACATCTTCAGCATTCATCTAAGAAAACCTGTTTTGGGGGAAAATTAATCAGTGAGCAATATCAACAGCTGACGAGTCAGCAGGGATGGCACAGCGCCTGCCAAAACAGAAATCTGGCTCATTGCTCCAAAGCCGCTAAATCTAACAGCTGTCCTAATTAGATTAGAATTTATACAAAGACAACGGCGACGGCTTCAGGAGGCGCTTAGACAGCTGAGTGGCGATTGCTTACGACACA